TCCACAACAGATAGAGGTGGAGAAGCCCCTGTGGTCCAGCTCACAGGACAGCAGTTGGGCGCTGCGCCACACTCTGAGCCCAGGTTACGGTACAAGTGGACCAATCTGTATTACCCAATGTCTGAGCATCCCCTTCCAGAGTCTGAAAGGAGCTGAGAGTAGGTTTCAGATTAAATCTGCTCTTGGCCACAAAAAACAGTAACTCCATGGAGCTGCTCAGAAGCAGAAAATGAGGTAATTATCATTTGGGGCTTTCAGACTGACCCAGACTCTGGTTATGGACAGGTAGGCACTGCTTTCCATTTAAGAAACCTATTTTCCTGACAGAAGCTACACACCTGATCTCATGAGCTCTTTTTCCACCATCGCAGTAATTTACACAATAGCAACATCCATTTCCAGGCCAACACAGAGCAAAAAGCAATTAAGGAATCAGAGGTCAAACCAATTCCTTCTACAGCTGCTCTTTACTGAGGGATGTATTTGGAAACAGAAAGGCTTCTTTAAAAAAAACTCTTTATAATAGAAATGCTGAAATATAAAAGAAAATTGGGTTCACTCATGTCCATTAAAAGGGTTGAATTCTTGAGGAAAAGCAATGCAATGTAAATAAAACATTTTTATGTTATATACTTATTGATATATTGCTCCTAAATGATCCATATCAAACTGATGGGGGCCTGGGTGCTACATGAAACTTTTCTTTGGGGTAGGGAGCAAAGCAATCGCCCAGACAATGGCCCATGTCCCCCACGGGGCTCCTGAGCAGGAGGGGTGGCTGGGTCACACACCCAGCCCGGCTGCCGTGCTCCCTGCAGGGCTGAGCAGCACGGCACGGTGGGTGCCAGGCATTGCACAGCCCAGAGCTGCACCCCAGGGGTAGCAGGGACTGTCAGGTGATGTGATGGGGCTTGGAGCTCAAACATTTGGCTCCAAATTCAACTCCAGCCTGAGCTTTCCCATGTCTCCTACCAACCTCGGTCACATGGAATTGCTTTTCGCTGGTCAACAGTTTCGCCTGTCGCTACATAATCTGGCGCTCACCATGAGTTTGCCTGGATGGCATCAGCCCAGGCACTGGATCCAGCCAAAACACCCTTTACCTTCCCCCTTTGCCTCTGCACTGAGACTTGCAAATGGAGTACTTGTGAAGAGCACGATTGCAAAGTAATTGTGATTTATGAGTTATGTGCAATAGTAGAATTTAAGCTGGCACTTCAAATATTAATTCATCCTTTGATTGAACATATTAGAAGCTTTGAAATGACCAGGAAAAAGCACTAATTCAAAAATTTCCTTAAGCTAACTTCAAGGCTATTGGTACCATTTATGCAATGAGGGACAAGCTTTACACAGAAGCACCTTGCTCAGCTGGGGTCACAAACCATCTGCACCTCCTGTAAACCCTCTGCCAGACATGCCCAGCAGTTACTCAGCAGTTATGGCCGCGCTGCACCGCTGAGTACGGCCGCACAGCGCCTCCG